ACTCTGTGAGGTAGGTATTAAAGGTGTTCTGATTACTGTTTTACAAATGAGACAATTGAGACTCAGTTAAGTTAAATGACTTGGCCAGGGCCATATAGCTAGTAAGTGCTAGAGGTAAGATTTGAATCCAAGTCAACATGACAGCAAGTCAAATGCTCTTTCCACTCCCTGTGTTTGTATATTCTATATAATTACAATAAAACAGAATTTTTAGAATATGGTAAAAAGAGTAGAGGATTTGAAATTAGGAGGTGAAGGTTTGAATATGGGCTCTGCTACTGGTTACTTATGTGACTTTGAACAAATCATATCCCTTCTCCCAGTCTTAGTTCCTCTGTCTGAAAAAAAAAAGGGAATTGGACTAGATTATCATAATAATCAATAATAAAGCTTAAAGTTTATAAAGCACGGTATTATTATCCCCAATTTACATATGAGTAAATTGAAGCTCAGAAAGGCTGCCTCTTGTTCATGGTCACACGGTGAGTGCCCTGCTGGTTTTTCATTGTAGGCCTTTCAATTTCAGGTTTAGTACTCTTTCCCCTAGATGACGAGTTCTTAATTTTTTTGGTATCATAGACCCCTTTGGCTGTCTAGTAAAACCTATAGACCCCTTCTCACTGTGATGTCTTTAAATGCATAAAACAGAATACATAGAATTACAAAGGAAGTCAAAAGTTAGTGAAAATGGAGATGTAATATTTTTCCCATCCAAGTCCCCTGAAATTGATCCTTGGGACTTACTGCACTATAAAAGAGTTTAATAGCCCTTGATTTAGATCAAGTCTCTAATTTTACAGATGAGGAAACTGAGGCCCAGAGAGACAAAGTGTCTTGAGTCATCATTAGAATGGAAGGGACCTCAGATCCTCTAGACCAGTGGTTATTAACCTTTATTTTTGTATCATGAACCCCTTTGGCTATTGATGAGGCCTATGGATTCCTTCTCAGAAAAAAAAAATTAAATGCATAAAACAAAATACATAGGATTGCAAAGTGATCAAAAGTTAATGAAAAGAAAAATGTAATTTTTTCCCCATTCAACTCCATGAACCTCCTGAAATCTCTCCATGGACCCTACATTAAAAACTCTTGTTCTAGATTATATTGTCTTTCTGTATCAAAAGTCTCCTTCAGTCTTCATTATGATAGCAAAATGTCGAGGATATATTTGTAAAGTAAATACACCTCTAAATTGTCTGCTCAGTCCTTCCAAAGTGAATTTTTTGAGGATTCCTTTCTTTTGCTATGAGTTTAAAAAATCCCAAGACCCCTCTTCTGAGTTCTTGGGTAGCTATGATGGTAAAGGCAACCGATTACCCTTTTTGACCTGGGAGACTTTGTTCTAGCTGAGAGAATGCCTTAGAAGAACAAGTGTGTTTCTGGTACCCAGCAGTGGGGAAGGCCATGAAGTTCTACCATTTCCCCCCAGAGTACCTAATACTCTGAGGATGCCTGAACAATGACTCTGGAGTATGTCAAGAGGAAAGTCACTGGCTTCTCCTCAGTGGCCTAGCTCTTTGATTACATATACAAAGAAAATTGATGGTAGGGAAGACAGCTTCACTCACCCAAGAGGTAGGAACTCCAGTGCTATAAACATACTTGTGCTTTGGCTGGTTAGAGCAGCAAGCTGCCTCCCTAATTGATTGTTCATTGTTAAGCACAAATTGGCAACTAAGTACTGGAGAAGTTTCTCTTATATAATGAATTCACTGAAAGTAAAAAATTTAGCTCCTTGAAATTCTCCAGAAGGGATGATATCCAGGCTTCAAGAAAATGTCTTTTCACTGAGAAAAGAGCCCTGAATCAGGCACTAGGTAAGATTCAACACTTATAGTAGGAAGTGGGCATCTTGTTGGTACTACTCTGGACATAATCAAATTAATCAAGCAAAAAAGCATTCATTAAGTGCATTCTATATGCTTGGTCCTGGGAAAACAAAGTTAAAAAAATGAAAAGTCTTCATATTCAATGAACTTATGTTTTGTTGGGGGCAGACAACTTGTACATAAGTAAAGACATACAGAATACATAAAAGATAAATTCAAGGTAATTTTGGGAGGGGGGACATTAGGAGTAAAGATCATTTAATTAGGAATTAATCAGGAAGAGATTTATCTATAAGGTGATATTGATCTAAGTCTTAAAGAAAAGAAGGTATTCTATGTGAGGAGGGAGAGAATTCCAGGCATAGGGGACAGTTACTGTAAAGACATAGAGATAGGAGATGAAGGGTTATATGTAAGGAAAAGCAAAGAAAGTCAATTGGTTGGGCCATAGAGTTCAGGAAGGAGAGTAATATACAGTAAGCCTGGAAAGAGAGATTTGGGCTAGACTATGACTTTATGCCAAGCAGGAGTTTGTATTTGATCTCAAAGGCAATAGGAGCTATTGGAATTTACTGAGGAGGAAAGCAAAGCATGAGCTTCCTTTATCTCTCACCTGTCAAAGAGATCTTGGTTTGGAGTCAGAAGAGCTGAGTTCAACTCTCAGCCCTGCTGCTTATGGTTTATGCACGGGTAATAACAAGTCCCCTCCTTCCTTTCAAACTATTCTTCCCCACAAAGAAAAAAAAAACTAAGCAAATTTGATGGTATGCAACATTATAGACTCATGGTATTCCATGTTTCTACTGAGAATATGGAAGTGAACCTCATCATCTATTCCCTGGGCTGAAGATTGGTCATTTCACTTAATCTGAGTTAAGGTCTTAGTTTTCTTATCAGCAAAATAAGGAGATTGGACTAGATGATCTCTAAGGTTTATCCTAACTTTCAGTCCTTCGATCCAATGAATTCTTCCCCCTCTCTGCCCTTGGAAAACTCATTTTTATTCCAAGCCTGAGTCAGAATTTCTGGAGTGGGGTTGGGAGAAAGATGGAGATTCCCATTTCAGGAAAGAAGGAAGGAAGAAATGAAAGGAAGGAAAGGAAAGGAAAGAAGAGAGTAACCACTCCCATTCTCTGCTCAAGAAGACAGAGTGATTTGTGAGTGAGTGACCCAATACCTGGCTGACTCTTAGTTTATATGGGAGAAGGAAAGATGAGGAGAACAATTATCTACTTGGATGAGTTGGGATATGGGATGCAGAGAATGGTAGGAAGTAAACCAGATACAGTCAAGGCACATGCCTCATCCCTTCAGTAGACAGGAAATGGAAGAGGTCATCCCTCCCCTCCTGCACCCAGAAGGCAGGAGGTAAGAGCTAGAAAGGCAGATGTCCCAAGTCTTGCCTCCAGGCTGTAAGCAGCTCCTAAACTACATGAAGCCACTGGATTTTTCTCCTGCACATTAACTAGTCCTCAAGCTCCTAAGGAAGCTGGGTGTAAAATGAAAATATATGGGTCTTTTAAATGCTGTCTAATATTTATGCAGACTGCATATCACTCAAATCTTACTTACAAAAAGAGTGAGAGAAAGGCACTTTCGGAAAGTACTGTAAATCCAGAGCCAATCACAATTAATCTAGCTGATTAGCAGCTAGATTAATTCCATGATTAAGAACAAATAAATAAAGGAACTCTCTTCCTCTTTGACTAAGGTTTGCACATTTGGACCCCAAAGGCTTAACAGATGCTGACAATTTGGAAATCATACATAAAGGTAAACCTTAATTAACTAATTAATTATTGTTTTTAAGGAGTGCTGTCTGCACTTTAAAAGGAAACCAACTGAGTTGCATAGTAAACGCCTTCCTTAGCCCATGAAAATAGTCCCCTGATGGCCTTGAGGAGTTAATGCAACTTCCACAAGTGCCCCTTCTATTCCCAGGGATTCTCTTTCACACTGGGAAAATCGGAAGTTGGAAGCTATATTTCTAAATAAGAGAGATTGCAATGACCTTGGAAATGAAGGGAATTCATTTTCTCTAATGGAAATGGCTTGGTTCTGTAAGTGAAGAAAAGCCTCCACATCCCATAGTATTGAGGACAGGGGAGGTAGTGTTGGTGACAGACATCCTTTCCACAAGGATTCTGCCCCTGGTCTGATGGCCCCTACCATGCTTACTGCCAGGACTAGCTTTGAGTGGCCCCATAAAATTCCTTTCAGAATCCTGGCTTCTACAGGAAATGTTGGGCAACAGCTTTTGGAAAACTTGCACCAAAACAAGGCTGGAGATCTTGCTGAACTCACCCTCCAGGCCTGCTCCTTACAGTCCATGTGTGACTAATGGCAGGTCCTTTCACCTCATTGGACCTCAGATTCCTCATGTGATGAAGGAGGAGGGGCTTAGGCTAGATGACCCCATGCTCCCTTCCCATTCTAAATCTTTGATCCTATAGTCAAGAGTGCCCCTTGGCACTGGAGAGCAGGGTACCTAGGAAGCAGAGAACCCAGGAAATTTTCTGAATGCTTGGGGGCAGCAGGAGAACAGGATTGGTGTCTCATTTGAGAAGGATAGGTGTCTCCCCTCCCCACCTTGAAAAGTCAGGGACTTTGGAACAAAGAAGGAGATGGAACATGGTCCAGGGAAAGAGCACTGTGATTCAGAGTTGAAAGGTTCAAGTCATGGGTCTGACAGGTTCCTTTATTTCATGAATATTTATTAAGTATCTACTGTGCATAGATGTTGTGGTGTCAAACTGAAATAGAAACGAGGCCACTAATCCATATATAAGGATTTCTGCAGGCTACATATTGACTTAGTTTTAAAATTTAATGTTATCTCTGTTTTGTTATATTTTTATTTACTGTGTGAAATATTTCCCACTTACATTTTAATCTGGTTCTTGTGGCATTGACATCTCTTTTGTAGAACACTGTGCTAGGTACTGCGGGGGGGCGGGGGGGAGATGAGCCTTCCATAAAGTACAGTCCATGCCCTTGTGAAGCTTACAGGCAAGATACAAACATTTTCTAATATCTCGTAATGCTAGTGCCTTCCCTCTTTTAAGAATTTTTAAAAAAGACCTTGTTTGTTTGTATATATTTTTTTGCTTGTGGTTTCCTCCTTCAATAGTAAGCTCCTTGAAGACAGGGAGTATCTTTTGCCTCTTTTTGTATCCCCAGGGCTTAGCACTGTGCCTGACATGGAGTAAGTACTTAATAAATGTTTATTGACTGACCACCTGACTAGTACCTATGTTATAAAGTAGCAAAATGAAGTGTTATGTTACATTCAGGGGCTGTTTTTGACATAGTCAGTTTATCTCTCAGGTCTTGTTTCTTCATCTGTAAAATGGGAATAATAATACTTGCACCGTCACCTTCACAGAGTTGTTTTGAAGAAAATGTTGGTTACAAACCTCAGAGCATGATAGAAATGTGAACTCTGATGATTTGCACTTGGAGAGCAAAATGAATTCCCTGTCCAGTGATGGAAGTCCATAGCAATGCTCTGGCCTTTCTTCTGTGGTGAATTATAGCTTTGAGTACGCAGCTCTCTTCCTTTAACTCCCTCCAGTCTTCAGGTGCTCAAGGGGCATCACTACAGGGGAGGCTTCCAGTACAAAGCAAGAGGAGAGGTGGTTCATGCCTTGGCACTGTCAAATGAATCAGCATTGGAAATGGATATGGTTTTATGGGTGGAAATGACATTAAAGAACAGCTAGACAGAATATTATGAAAATAAATAAAAATAATTTTTTAAAAATGAAATAAAAAAATGGCTAGGAAGTTGTGACAAGAATATTTTTGGAGGGGTGGAGCCAAGATGGTGGAGTAAAGGAAGGAACTTGCGTGAGCTCTTCCAGCAAACCCTTCCAAATACCTTTTTTAAAAAATTATTCTAAACAAATTCTAAAGCAGCAGAAGCCATAAAAAGACAGAGTGAACAAATTTCCAGCCCAAGACAACCTGGAAGGTGGACAGCAAAGGTCTATTGCACCAGGAGCACAGTCCAGCACAGACCATGCCAGCACAGCCATGGCCCCAGCAAACCAGAACCAGGCCTTGGGAATAACAGAATCAGCAGCACCAGTGGCTGCTTCCAGAGCTCTCAGTCCATAGATGGTAAGGGGTTTAAACAACTGGTCAGAAGGAGATTATAGGAGTCTGTTTTCTGGCACTGAGGCAGGATTCTGTTGCTTTGCCCATACTTGAATCTAGGTAGCAGCCTTGGGTGGTAGTCCTGGGGTGAGGAGGAGCACTGGCATAGCACAGCTTGTGGCAGCAATGGAGAAAGGACCCTTCTCACAGTTCCAGGGTAGAAAACAGTGCTTGTGGTCACTCACACACCAGAGCATAGGCCAGGAGAGGAGTAAACACCTGTCCTTAGATCATACCACCTTGAAAAAACTAAAAACTTATAGGTCCCTAGAAGTATCTCTGAAAACAGCTGCACAAAATCCCTGAAGCTTGGGATAGTTCGCCCTCCACACTGGAAGCAGAGCCTTACCTTAACAAAGAATTAGAAAGTCAAGTAATAGGCTGGGAAAATGAGCAAACAACAGAAAAAAATCTGACTACAGAAACTTACTTTAGTGACAAGGAAGATCAAAACATACACTCAGAAGATAACAAAGTCAAAGCTCCTCCATCCAAAGCCTCCAAGAAAAATATGAATTGGTCTCAGGCCATGGAAGAGCTCAAAAAGGATTTGGAAAATCAAGTAAGAATTGTAAGGATGATCAGTTGTGAATGACTTAGCTACTCTGATGAAGACGAGGATCCAAGACAATTTCAAAAGACTTATAATGTAAAATACGATCCACCTCCAGAAATGATACTGATGAAATCTAAGCGGAGATTGAAGCATATTTTTTTTACCTTCTTTATTATTCTTTTGTTGTGTTTATGTGTATATGTGTTTTCTTTTGCAGAATATCTAATACAGAAATGCTTTGTATGACTTCACATGTAAAATTGGAACTCAAAGTTCTAAAAACGAATGTTAAAAATTATTTTTTACATGTAACTGGGGAAAAAATAAAATACCAGATTAAAAAAAGAATATTTTTTTTTTAGAAATGAGCATGGTAAATACCGAGAAGCATGGAAAGAATTACATGAATTGATGCAGAATAAAGTAAGCGGGGATGCAGCTATAATGGCTCAACAGATAGAGTGGAGTCAGGAAGACTTGAGTTCAAATCCAGCTGAAGACACTTACTAGCTGGGTGACCCTGGCCACATCACTTAACTTCTGTTTTCCTTAAGCTACTGGAAAAGGGAATGGCAAATCACTCTAGTATCTTTGCCAAGAAAATCCCATGGACAGTATAGACCATGGGGTCTCAAAGAATTGAACAAGACTGAACAACCAAATAACAACAACAACAAAGTAAGCAGGACCAGGAAAACAACACATCTTGTGACTGTAACTTTGTAAATAGAAAGAATAATGATAACACAATCAAAACTCAATGTTGTGAAATTGTGGAGAACACACTTGGCTTAGAAGAAGAGATAGTAAAAATAATTCCTCCTGCTTCTTCACAGAGGTCAAGATCCAAGGGTGTGAAACATTGCATCAAAAGTCAAATGTTATTAATGGGTTGATCATTCAGCTGTGTTCAACTCTTTGTGACAGAGTTGTACACAAAATGGATACAAGATGATTTTGGAGAGAAAGTACCAGCAGCTGGGTAGAGAGGAGGGGTTAGGAAAGGTTTCATGTAGGCAGAGGTTCCTGAGCTCAGTCTTAAAAGACACTAGAGATGTAACTGGCAAATGGTAACTGGGCTTCAAGATCTTTCTGGGGCTTTGAACGAGCTCATTACTGGAAACTCCCCTAAATAGACACACACACACACACACACACACACACACACTCACACACACACACACACACACACACACACACACACACACACACACACCCTGCACTCCCCCATTCCCAACCCTGTGCCTACCTCCTAGGGTAGGATCAAATGAGAAAAATCTTTGCAAAGCGCTTTGCAAACTTTAAAGTACTATATCAATGCTAGCACAAAGCAGGGCTATTTGATGCATAGGGTTACTGGGTGTTGTCCAAGCCAGGGAGCAATCTGATTTCAGCCAGCCACTTTTGCTGCCTATGTTGTCTACTTCAAGCCAAGGCACAAAAACCCAGAGGAGTCTTTTCTGTGTTAATAAGGAAAAAGTATCTATTAAGGGATTACTAAGTACACTGTCCTACACACTAGGGAAACAAATGGAAAACAAGACCATCCTCTTAAGGTGCACACATTTAAATGGGGGAGATGATACATTTAGGAAACTTCACCTGGAAGTCAGATAGAAAGGCTCACTGGTCGTTAGGGTATATATGACAGCAAAACCACATGCTAATGCATCTTCTTTTGTGTCATTTAAAATAAATTTTGGGGGTAGCTAGGTGGCACAGTGGATAGAACAGTGGGCCAGGAATCAGGAAGACCTGAGTTCAAATCCAGCCTCAGACATTTAATAGCTGTGTAACTTGGGCAAATCACTTCACCCTGTTTGCCTCAATTTCCTCATCTGTAAAATGAGTTGGAGAAGGAAATGGCAAAAACTCAAGTATCTTTGCCAAGAAAATCCCAAATGGCATCACAAAGGGCTGGATATGACTGAAAATGACTGAGTAACAACAACAACAAATTATCAACATCAACATCATCATCATATTTTTCAGGTGAACTATTTGGGAAACGCTGAAGGAATAGCTCTCCTGGCTCCCTGCTCCAAGGGACTAACTATTCCTCTCCCTCCTACCCTGAGGAGCTTTGATGTGCATAATATCCTGGGCTCTCTCATTTCCCGGGGTCATTGACTCTGACATAAGGCTGACAGCACAGAGGGGAGAGGCAATTTGTGAGAATGCAGGATACGATTGGATAATACTATATATAGTAAGAAGAACATTGGGCAAGTTACTTTACCACTCTGAGCCTCAGTTGCCTCCTTTGCAAAATGAGGGCTTAGAACTCACTAATTTCTGATGTCTCTTTCAGCTCTAACATTCTATGATAATCTACTCTGAAGATGAAGCAGTTAAGTGATGCAGTAGTTAGAGTGCTGAGCCTGGAGTCAGGAAGACCTGAATTCAAATCCGACCTCAGACCCTTACCCTTATTAGCTGTGTGACCCTGGGCAAGAATTTAACCTTTATTTGCCTCAGTTTCCTCATCTGTAAAATTTGGATAATAATAGCACCTACTTCCCAAGGTTGTTGTGAAGATCAAATGAGATAATATTTATAAAGTGCTTTGCAAACTTTAAAATGCTATCTAAATGCTAGCGACTATTAATTGTGATTTATCATTATTTTATTGGTCAGAGCATCTTGCTAATAATGCCAAGGTCATCTGCTCTATTCCCATGTGGGCCAACTCTGCTCAGACTTCCTTTTTAACCCTAGCCAACATCTTGCAAACATTTGTTTTTGGTCTCAAGGGGAATAGAGTGAAAAGGTGCAGATAACTCAGTTCTAACTCACTTCTGTTGTCTGGAGACACAGTTTAGTCCCCATATCTGATATCACTGACTATGCCTAGAGTCACCCTTCCATGTATTCTATAATTACTATAATCCCATGATTTTAGACCTGAAAGGGACCTTACAGACAAGACTGAGTTCAACTTCCACAATTTTACAATTGAGGAAACTGAAGCCTAGACAAATGACTTGCCCAAGGTTAAACAGTAACTGGCCAAAATTCAAATACAGTGTTATTTTTGCAGTTGCTCATATTAGCAGTTTTCCTGCCTCTTCTTATGCTCTCTTACCACTGTTTAGGTTGTCCACTTTGCCTGGAATCTTCTTCTTCGTTACTGCCCATCAAAATCCTTTCTTCTAAGACCTAACGATGATGCCCTTTTCTTCATGAAGATTTCTCTGATTTCCCCTATAAGGATTATCACCCTCCACAAAATTTCCTGGAGCTCTCTTCCTAGACTTCTTCTCCCTGCCACCCCCCAGCCTCATACAAAGTCTACTTTGTATCATCTTTATTTATGTACATAATAGTAGCTAATAATTGCTAACATTATATAGAGCTTTAAAGATTTGCAAAGCACTTTACAAATACTGTTCAATTTTATCTTCACAACAACCCTGGGAGATAGGTGCTATTATTATCCCCATCTTACAGAACTGAGGCAGACAAAGGCTAAGTGACTTATCCAGGGTCACACAGCCAGCATGTGTCAGAAGTGGCACTTGAATCCAGGCCTTCTTGGCTCTGAGGCCAGCTCTCTATCCCCTACACCATATTACCCTAAATAAGCCAATAGTGAAGAACCCACAGAGGTACAAAGATGGACACAGCACCTTGAGCTCACGATAGTGACAGGATAGCAATGAGTCTCTCTCTTCACCTGTCCTTCTGCCCATCCCTATGTCCTCCTGCCCTGACACAAAGCAATCCCCTCTTGCTCTCACCTTGGAACATGTTGTACACCAAGCATGGAGATCTCTGTGCTCAGCAAGGAAGCAGGCTTTGTTCTGAGTCCCTTCTCCTTTGGATCCTCAGCTTCCTTGCTCTTTCCATCTTTGCTCTAAGATTGGAGATGCTGCAAGCCCAACCATTAGATCAAAAAGGAGCTTGAAAAATACTTTAAGCAAAAAGTGCGGACTGTGCATTCTTGTTCCGTGACTGTCTTGATATTAAATCATGAAATAGCGCTGAACAGCTGCCCAAAACATATATTCTGGCCTGTCAAAACAGAAACCAACAAAATTTCTAACAGGAGCTAGAGGTGAAAGGAACAGCTGGGAAGAAATAGCAGGGCAGAGAGTGAGTCTACATACAGGTGATCCTGGTGTTCTTGTTCAGAAAGGGAGTTCTTGGACTTACCAAGAAAGGCCAGATTTGGGACTTTGAAGTTGGCATTTTATTTGATGCTAATGATCCTTTGTTACATGGAAGAATAGTTGTGAGCTTGAGGATTTTTTTTCATTTTTTTTTGTTTTTGTTTTAGGCAATTGGGGTTAAGTGACTTGCCTAGGGTCACACAGCTAGTAAGTGTCAAGTGTTTGGTCTGAGGCCGGATTTGAACTCAGGTCCTCCTGACTTCAGGGCTGGCGCTCTATCCATGAGTTTGAGGATTTTGAATGATGAAGCTGCTGCCTATTTGTGATCTTGAGCTCAGATGATACAATTATCTTTCTCCTAACCATAGGTGATATTAGCTTATAGTGCCAAACCTCAATACTGAGCATCCTAGGCCATTTCTTGGATCCCTGGACAGGATATCTGGTTGACTAAGGTTTTCCTTGCACGTTGGAAATGAGCTCCTAAGTTTGCTGTGTGCCATCCTTGGCTTATTGGGGGTCTTGACCATCCCCTTCTCCTGGCCCTCCCTACTCCCACCCTGGCAAAAGAAATGCAGAGCAAAAGAGATCAGAAGGCCAATAGACATCAGGAGATCCAGAAACTCCTGGACTTCCCCTTGGGCTGACATTGCTCATGACAGGAATTGGTTCTTAGCCCTAGGAGAGCTATCTTGAGGGAAGGAAGGAGGGAATATTAGAGGGAGGGAAAAGCCTGGAGAGACCTAAGGAATGAAGATTTCAAGATGAGAAGTCATCGTCTTTCTATACGTGAATTGGATTATCATCCCTTCCCAACAATCTTCAAAGCCTCCCTCCATTCACTAAAGGTATACTTCTCTCCTGCTTAGGGAGAGGAAGATAAAGGAATGCTTTGATAAGGCTTTGATAAGGTATGCATCATGGGGGTTTTCTGGTGAATTTGGAATGAAATGATCTGACTTAGCTGGTGAGAAAGTTCACCTGTATTTAATTCTTGGTATGGTCCATGTTTTATAATAGCACTTTTATACAATAATATTATAATAAAAATTATGTAAATGGAACTTTTATGGCACTTTAAAGCTTGTAAATCAATTTACATTATTTCACTTGATCCTCACAACAATCTGGTGATGTAGGAGTTATTATTATCCCCATTTTACAGACGAGAAAACTGAGGCTGAGATAGGTTAAATGACTTATACAGAGTCATGGAGCTAGTAAGTGTCTGAGACAGGATCCTTATCAGGTCTAATTCCTCTGCCCATTGTCCCATGAGATTATGAGCTCCTTGAGGCAGGGGCTTCTGCCCTTTGTTTGGATCCCCAGTTCCAATACAATGCCTTGAATACAGTAAGTGCTAAATAAATGTTTGTTGACTAATGAAACTATGCCATACTGTTCATCCCTATGCTAAGTTTCATGAGGTTCTCCCTTTCCTACTAGTTACCTGAGGGAGAGCTCAGTAACTTAGGCTCATATAAAATCTAAAGATTTGGAGATCATCTAATCTAGAGATTCTTTAACTTTTTGTGTGTGTGTGTGTGTGTGTGTGTGTGTGTGTGTGTGTGCCCTGAACCCCTTTGACAGTCTGATGAAGCCTACACACTACTTCTTAGAATAATGTTTTAAAATACATTAAATAAAACATATAGTATTACCAAGGAAACTAATTATATTGAAGTACAGATATCAACATATTTTTTTAATCCCAAATCCACAGGCGAGGTAAAGAACTCCTGATCTATTCTACTCCTTTTATTTTTAGAGAAGCAGCCAGTGCTTTGAACAATCTTCTCTTCAGATGAGTCTGGAGAAACATTGAATTCCATGTGAAATTTAGGATATAAGTAGGGTCTCCACCAGGAGCTTTTAGCTATACTCAGTCACACAGGATCAAGCATCCTTTGGTCTATGGTTTGTGGTTACCTGAAAATTTGAGGTGTTTATGGTAGAGTGGGAAGACTAGGAGGCAAGATATGTAGGATCTAGTTTCTGCTTTATACTCACTCCATGTGGCCTTGGGAAAGTCATTTCCCTCTTTGGGGCTGGAGTCTCTTCTCTATCAAATGAGGGGGTCTGTTTCATTCTTCCCAGCAATAATAGCCATCATCGACCAATAGGCTGCTCCCTCACGTCACAGATAGATAGCCACACTAATGCTTTTTTTTTTTGAGGCTCTTCCAGAAATGGCCTTCTTGTCAGGTTATTTCTTAAAGCAGAGATCTATGATCTGTTATCTAAGCTTTCCTGGAACCTCAGTCATTGTCCAGGAGGAATTTGACAGTGGAGGAAGACATAGTCACTCCTAGCCCACTAGGGAGGGACTAGATAGATTAGGATCCAGTGTAGTTACCCAAACAGCCCATAGGAATCAATGAATCAATAGTTATCTAGTGCTTTCTATGTGTCAAGTGCTGTGTTAGGCACTGAACAGAAAAAGACAGAAGAGAAACAGACTCTGCCCTCAAGGGATTTACATTCTCCTAGGGGACTTCAACACAGAAAACCCATAAATAAATACAAAGTGTATTCAAAGTAAACACAAAGTTCTTTTGATTGAGGTACCAGCAGCTGAAGGTGGGGAGGGGAATCAGGAATGGTCTCCGGTAAGACCTGGCTGAGCTTCAAAGGAAGTTGGGGATTAAAGAGACTGAAGTTCAGAGGAAAGGCATCCTGGACACCAAAAGTCCATCTCCCTGAGAGTAGACCTGAGTATTTTCATTTTGTAGTAGGGCTGAAATTAGACAGAAGTGTTACCAATTCCCTCAGCATCCTCACTCCCTCTCTCTGACTTCTGGGCTTCAAAACAATGCTTCTGGGCCCTATCCCCTTCAACCCTTTCATGTATTGTTTCCCTCTGTTAGAATGTAAGCTCATTAAAGGCAGGGACTGTCTTTATTTTTGCTTATATTTCTATCCCTGGCACTTATCACAGTGTTGGATTGTGGATTGAGTTTAATGTCACACAAAATAAGCACTTAATAAAGGCTTAAAATTCTTTCTTCCTCCTTTCAGTAAGAGAAGTAGTTGATGTAGGAGATGGGAGCCAACCTGAGAAGACACAAAACCAGGCTAAACCCTAGTCTTAAAGGGATTAGGGTGAGGGCACTGAGTTTCCCTCTGTTGGAAGTAACCATAAAAGCTGATCATTTCACACACAGAGTGCAGAATCTTAGCTTCACTTGAATATTCTCTATAATCCCACAATCTGTACTCACTGAGGGAGAAAGGTATGGGTTAAAATTCTCTCTACATGCTTAACTCCCTACTTCAGAAGTACAGGGTCTACCACAGAGAAAAGAAAGCTCAATTATATTTGGAGATCAAATATGGAACCTTAATGACCATCAGTGAGTCATAATAATTAATTAAAAGGATTATCAGGAACTTTGTCTAAATCCAGTAATGAGGTTGAATTGCAAGGCTAACAATGGCTTCCTCCAGCAGTGGGATGCCATGGAGATCTAAACATGCCTAAACTAACCAGGAGAAAATTTCTCCCTAGTTTTGGTTCCATGAGATACTGGACTCCAGCTTATATCCGGCACTCCGGATCATGGAATCACAGAATCTGAGTTGAAAGAGCCCTCAGACATCCCCTAGTTCAACTTGTACCTGCCTAGGCAGCCTCTCTAACTCTGGTTTTTTTTTCTTTTTAATGGTAATTTTTATTTATTTTTTTGTTTTCAACATTTGCTTCCACAAGATTTTGAGTTCCAAATTTTCACCCCATCTTGCCCCTCCCCCCACTCCAAGATGGCATGCATTCTGAATACCCCTTCCTCTAGTCTGCCTTCCCTTCTATCTCCCCCTCTTCTCTTATCCCTTTCCCCTTCAATTTTCCTGTAGGGCAGGATGGATTTCTGTACCCCATTTCCAGTAATTCTTATTTCCCAGTTGCATGTAAAAACATTTTTTTTGAACATGTATTTTTAAAACTTTGGGCTCCAAATTTTCTCCCTTCCTCCCTCCCCACCCACCCTCATTTAAGGCAAGCAACTCAATATAGGCTATATATGTGCAGTTATGCAAAACACTTCCATAATAGACATGCTGTGAAAAACTAACTCTATTTCCCTTAATCCTATCCTGCCCACCCATTTATTCTATTCTTTCTTTTTACCCTGTCCTTCCTCAGAAGTATTTGCTTTTGATTACTCGCTCTCCCAATCTGCCCTCCTCTCTATCATTCCCCTACTCTCTTGTCCCCTTCCCCCCTATTTTCCTGTAGGGTAAGACAGATTTCCATACCCAATTGAGTGTGTATGTTATTCCTTCCTTAAGTCAAATCCTATGAGCATAAGATTCACTCATTCCCTCTCACCTTCCCCTGTTTCCCCTCCACTGTAAGAGCCTTTTCTTTTCTGTTTTTTTTTGGGGGGGGATAATTTACCCCGTTCTACCTCTCCCTTTCTCCTTCTCCTAGTATATTCCTCTCTCACCCCTTAATTTTATTCTCCAGATATGACCCCTTCATTTTCAACTCACCCTGTGCCCTCTATCTATCTATATCTATATACATACATACATAGAATTTTTTCCCCTCCAACTACCCTAATACTGACAAAGGTCTCATGAGTTACTAATATCATCTTTCCATGCAGGAATGTAAACAGTTCAACCATAATAAGTCTCTTATGATTTTCTCTTTCATGTTTATGTCTTCTTGTTCCACTTGAGTCTTGTATTTGAAAATCAAATTTTTTATTCAACTCTGGTCTTTTCATCAAGAATGCTTGAAAGTCCTCTATTTCACTGAATGACCATTTTTTCTCCTGCAGGATTATACTCAGTTTTGCTGGGTAGGTGATTCTTGGTTGTAATCTCCTTTGCTCTCAGGAATATTATATTCCATGCCCTGCGGTCCCTTAATGTAGAAGCAGCTAAATCTTGTGTTAT